TGTTTCTGATCCAGTTAGATGGAAATTCAGATTTTAACTTCATCATAACAGGCGAATACATCACTGTGAGCTAATGTGTCCTGTGTGGTCTGTCTAAAGGGACTTCTTTGAGAAGCACGATTTGTTCCCAGAGAATGTGCGGGAAAACTGTTTGCCGGTCCTGACTGAGATGAAACAGTCTGCCCACACTTATTTATTAACCTCTGTGCGCAAGGTCCTCAAAGTAAGTTCTTTACAACTGCAGAATAATCCTCAGGATTAAATCCTAACATGTTTTAATCAAAGATTTTAAAACAATGTGTTATTTGTTCCTCACACAGCCACACTACCAGAAGGTGGGAACCAGTGACTGGCTGAAGAAGAACACGTTTGAGAAGCTGCTGAACAGCACTGAAGACGAGCTTCAGGAACTTCAGGGTTCGAGTCAGTCCTCTTACCAGGTAAAAGGAGGAAACTTTGTTTTGGATTGAATGGCCATTATTGCCTTCATTGTCAATTTTTTAGTAAAATGATTATGATGCGCTCTGATTACTTATATACTTGGGCTAAATTCAGGAGCTGATTGGTCGGCTTCAGCAGGAAGTGACAGTAGAATATGTCCAGAGGCTCCTGAAAGGAGAGGTCAAACTGAAGGACAGCAATCAGCAGCAGAAGGCTTACGAGACTGTGCAAGAAAATGGAGAGAGACTGCACGAGCTGTTTGCCAGAATGGTGAGACTCACCTTCACTGCACACTTTAGCTGAGACATGAATAAAACCCAAAAGTGATCAGATTTCTGCTGAGCTGTTGGAAAAAAATAAGAATAAGAATCAGCTCAATTTCACATTTATTTGGTTTGGAAGTTTTGATTAAAAGTTCTATAAAATTGAAACAAAAAAAAAGAGCAGCTGACTAAAATCTGATCCTCCAAGCCTGGATATAGATGAAATACACTCAATGGAAAACCAATGGACTCATTCCTGAAAAACAAAAGTGTGACCCATAGAAAATGATGGACCACTTTTTTCCCCACTTTTTTCCCACTTGCTGTATATTGTTAAAAAAGATTTTTACATTACACATTTGTATCTGTAGCATATAAATTAATATTTTATACAGATTTTACATGGAGCAAAACATGGTGGAAATGAAGAAAAACCCTCCACTTAAGGACAACTGGACTGTAGTTACAAATGTATCAAATATCTGAACATTAGTTGATGACTATGTGGTGCATAAATAAAGACAATATTCACGAAACTGAAAGAACGTATCAAATACATCATTGATCTTGTCAAACTCCAGTGCAGTAGCTCCAGAATGAAAAACATCATTATTGCTTTGTTGATTACAGTTTGGGGAAACTTGCAGACTAAACTGACGTCACTGATTTGTCTTCACAGGGATCCAAACAAGACTGGTTAAAGGAAATCCTGACCAAGATTGCAGAAGTGCTAAAACTCCAAGATATTCCTGCCATACAGATGCAAATCGTTTCACTGGGATCTGCTTATCCCGACCTCAGGTAACTTTTGAACTGACTGAAACATTATTTACTTTAATACAAAAACAACTGCACTTTTTGGCGATAGCTGAGGAGGAACAGCAAGTAGACTGAGCCAAACATCTCAGTTGGTTTCAGATGTTTCTTGTCAGCAGGATGAGCGACATTCATGGAAACTAATATGAGAAACTGAAAGCTAAATAAAACATGCAGGCCTGAGAGAAGCAGCAGCAGCTGTGTGTAGATGAAGTCAATAATGCTGTTAATTAGAGTGAAAAGAGAGATTTCTTCCAAATGTGGCACCGGAAAACAAACTGTCTCGTTCTTGTCTTATTTCTAACCTTAAAGGAAAAGGAGAAAGAGAATCAGGGGACATAAACACTGCTGTTGATAGCACTCACATATAGACTGTCTGTGTGTCTGAAAGCATCAGCACCACGGAAGTGTGTGATTTCATGGGGAGTTATTTGATAAAACTAGTGGAAACTTGGAGATTAATGTAAATTTAGGCACATATCAGTGTCACCAATAGGAGTTCCATCTATTGTTGCATTTAACACAGAAATTGACACATTTTCCAATAGTTGGTGTGATGATGTGACAGCTGTTAATGTTTGCAGGAAGGATGTGTGTCAGGGGCAGGAAACCGGTTACACACAGAAAAAGATAACAGGTTCAATAATACAGATCAGCAAATCAGCTGTTTGATTTAAGACCTGCGGTCTTGGACTACAAGTTTAAAGCAATGATTGAACTTGTAAGCCTTGTGTTGAAAGTTAAAAAAATGTTGCAGAATCTTTTTTTTAACTTATTAACATTGTTAATATCATGTAGCATTAATGGGGTGATTTTGCACATTCATGTAATCTAAGGTAGGCTGAAACATCATCATCATCATCATCATCATCATTTGTTTGCATCTTACTGTCATATATGACTTTCTTCACCTGACAGTTTTGTTTCTCAGTATCTCATTCTGTAATGACAAACAGCATATAAACATAATCATAAAATACTTGGCATGACATCTTTTTTTTGAACATTTTCTTCTTTCTGTCACCAACAGTGAAAAACATCTTTCAGCTCTGCTTAAACTCAAAGCAAACCTCTCCAAAGTCGACAAGAAAACTATCAAAACCACAGTGCTGGACATACTGAAAGAAAGCCATACTAATGCTGAAACCCGGGCGTTTTTCTCCAAAGTTGAAGTGACGGGCAGTTGATTTGCTTTTCAGAATATCACTGACTGAGAGTTGGGTTGCAGAGCATCTGTCTTATATTGTTTGGTAGACAAGATGAGTTGAAGTGTTTTTAGTCTGTCTGTAAAGATGTTCAAAGTGAATGCCATGGGTAATTTCCCATGTTTCTGTCTCGTTGTCTGTTAGTGTTTGACACAGCGAGTATCAGGGTTTTTTTTTTTCATTTAGTTATTTTTCATTTTTGGATGACCATCACTTATGTGGAAACACTTCCTCCTTGGACCTCAGACACTTATTCCACTTTCTACAGTCAAACTTTCTCCTAAATTCTTGTCTTAGAGCTGCAGGCTTCTCTCTTAAAACATCGTCACCACGTGCTCTGCTTCACTTGGAGGTAAACATAGTTTTGTACACAGAGAAATGGGGAAATGTGCATGTTGGTTCCGAATGCTTTTGATTTACTAACATACGAACTGTGGTGATAACAAAATAGGCTGGCACGCAACGTTTCGCAAATTTAACAGTAATTTTTCTGTGTGGACTACTTGTGTATTAGTGTATAAGTCCATGTATTAGTAAATGAGGCTCATTGTCTGCACCATGTTTCACAGATGATGCAGTAGTGAAAAGTTTTTTCTCTCCTTCTTCTGACTTTCCCATGTTTCTGATACAAGTTAATCTTGGTTTCATCTTTTCAAAGATGGCTTTTTGAAACCTGTGCGAGGTCTTTTAGATGTTTTCTGGCAAATCTAATCTGACCTTCTTGTCCTTCAGTGTAACCTCATGTTTGCACCTTGTTGTAAACCTTGTTGTATACTGCTGAATAGAAACCAAGTCTTGTAACAACATGGAAAAATAATACTCGGAAGCGCTGGAATATTGTTTCACATGTAACCTTTAGGTAAATAGTGAGGTTTTCATGTTGATATTATCCAATAGTTTTGTAAGAATAAAACAGAATACTTTATGGTACTGCTTTTAAAAAATGTACACATCCACTGGAAGAAGTCAGAATTTCTGCAGTGATTTATGTTTGTTTCTTGGTTTGTGCAAGTTAGTATAGAATAATTCTTTATTCTTGCATATGTACCAGAAGATAAATGGCAATATTGTGTTTACAGTGAAGTAGCAAAACACACTGTTTAAAAATATTACCTTTGTCCTCATGTTTGTTGCGTTTGACATCAGACAAAGAAAAATGACATATTTCACATCAAAATAACAAACATTACATGTTTGTCATTTTGTACAGGAAAACAGACATAACTGTGAAAGTCAATTAATTTCTCAGGTAAATTTATTTTTATGTGTATTATTATTATCATTATTATGTGTTTTGTATAAGTTGATTCAAATGTTTGGATTTTTTTTTCACTTTTTGTGATTGTAGCTAAGAAAATGTAAACATTGTGTAACTGAAATGCATATTTTATAATACCAATAAAAAGCCACTATATCCACTAAGCACTATCAGCCTAACCCACTCACATTTGTTCATTTATTTGGACTGGAAATGTTTTCTTTTATTGAAGCAAATATCTGTAACGATGTGCATAAAACAGCACTTGGAAACAAATCTCAAATATTTCTATCATCTTATTTAAAAAAGACAATTCAACTTTTTTCCCCCAAAAAGGTATGGACAAAGACTAAACCCCTGCACACACAACTACAGCACACAACCCCCTCTAGTGGACATACATGTCCTGATGTCACGTCGGATTTGGTTTTATTACAACTTTTGTTTATTTACCTAACATAGAAACCGAAACAACAACATGAGAGCTTGCTTCTTCACCTCTAAAGTATACATTTGTCCAGGGCTGGACTGGGACAAGAAAAATCAGCCCGGGCATTTTGACTAGTGACCGGCCCACCAGGTATCATAGGAAGAGCCATAAAGTCTTTGAATGAAAACGAACGCTGTTGTGAGAGTGATGTACAGTCTTGTTGTTATATATGTATGATTTCTATACATTTTACATCAGATAAACA